TTAAATAAGAAATCTAGCGCTAAAATGTGTTTTTGAACTCAAGCTGCACGCTCGTTGCCGCGGCGATCAGTTGCATGGATACAGTCCTCTGTGCCTCGCGCAGTCTTCACTCGGACGCGCGCTTCAATCTATCGCTGTTGCGGACTCTATTCATTCCGGTGTAATCACAAAATAAAACACAAACGTATCCTTGCTTGATATAACTGTAACCGCTGATGAACATATTCAGTTTTGATGAGAGAAAAAATATGTACGAATGATTTGACGGACGCACGGGGGGGGAGGGGGGCGGTGTCGGGGGGTGGTTGGATAAATTTTTGTCATTGGTTGTTGCGTTAAATCTTACCCAGATACAATAGTGCTATTTTCTGATTGGCTATTGTGTAGCTCGACAAACAACACCAGAGGAAACGCGCTTGATTCATGCCGGTTCCACAGTGAGAGCGGCGCAGCCAGAGTTTTGGCCGCTGCGGCATATTAAATATATTACAAATAGTTTTTCAGCGTGAGAAATACAATGTGTGGCGGGAGAGCGTGACAAAAGACCGAAATGAGTGACTGTCACGCTCAATGCTTGACACTTGAGAGCCCTGTTGTAGAATTGCCAGACCGGTGAAGCCATTTTTACCAGGGCGTAAAAAAATTGTCTCGCGAGTTTTGCGTCATCTGATCGGCTTTTCTGGATCGGCCTTTATAGAGACCGCCGATCACACATCCCAAAGCAATTATCGGCCGATTATGATCGGCGACGATTAATCGGAGCACCCTTAATTTTGCGGACACCATTTAGACAGCCACCCATTGAGTGATGACAATCTGCTAACTATCTCATCACTCCTGCGAACAGGAAGAGGGCCAGAGCAAATTACAGTGCCTGACATCGTACTTGCGAGTTCACACACCTCTTTGACATTAATTTTGGTGGAGTCGAAAATCATTAGTGCCGACGTGAATAATAATCTTAGATAATTTACGATTAGCATTAGCCAGCACTTTTAAATTTGCTTTGATGTCAGGTGCTCTGGCTCCCGGCAAACATGTGACTATGGTGGCTGGTGTCTCTATTTTCACGTTCCGTGTAATAGATGTCCTTGTACACATCAAAGACAACATCTATACGCTGGCTCTTCCCCCCTTCGTGCAGCTTGTTGTCCAGAGCTGAGACAGCCAACTGCGCAAAGGAATTGTCTTGGCCCTTCAGTTTCTGTAACAGGCTCATTCCATCAATGGCGGTTGTTAATGGCTCTGGGATTTCCTCAGCTGGGGACACGCTCTTCTCCAACTCTCTGGCCAAAACTGCCTTGTTGGTCTTGCGTAGAGACCCATCCTTTTTAGCTAGGACCCAAGGCAGAGGTCCCAGAGGATGAGCCAAGTCATGCGAGTCATGTGCTCCAAAAATGGTCTAGGTCTTTAAGGGTTAATATCTACCTGAAATTCAACGTTTCTTATTTTCTTGTGTTACAAAGCTGTTACCTAATAAATTCCACATGAACCTGAAAACAAAACTTATTGAAATATATTATACAAAAATTAAGAACAAATCGTACGTACATTTTATGACTTTCCAATGGTAGACAGAGTCGACAATACATGTTATTTTTCTTTTCTTTTATATTTTTTACAACTCAAAACAACAAAATATCAGTGTGAATTCAAAGATATCGACATTTTGATATTTAAGATATTTTGACATTATTTTTGACATATATTGATATTTTGACATATAAGATATTGATATTTACAAATATTTTAGTTTGCTTGGTATTAATATTAGATCACTGTTATTATGGTATTGGGCGTTTGTGTATTTTTCAAAAATAATTCTAATTCATAAAAGTAGGAAAATGCAATTCTAAAAAAAAAGTATAAAAAACTGGGACTGTGGAAAGGTTATCATATTAAAAATAACTTATATTAACCCCATAAACAATTTAGTACAGATAAGGTTTTGCCCACCCAGATGGTACCAATATCTGGTCTGGCCCATGGACTATATGTGCACTAGTGTTGTCAAAAGTACCGACTTTGGTACCAACTCGGTACTAAAATTGTGACGAAACCAGTATTTCCCATTTTGAGCGCTGTTGAGCAGATTCTTAAATACCTCTGATTGGCCATTGTGTTCACGCGCTCAACATATTTGTCTCTGATTGGCCATTGTGTTCACGCGCTCAACATATGTCTGTGATTGGCTACAATGATCAACACTTCAAAAACATGTTGTAAATAGACGTCTTTGATGCTCTTCACCAAGCACTTACACAGAACACAGGAGAGCGTTTGAAAGCAGGCATCTTTCAGCGGATCTCTAATATGCTGATAGACAGATCCTATGATAGATTATTGTAGCCAATCACAGACATATATGTTAAGCGCATGAACACAATACAATAGCCAATCAGAGGTGTTTAAGAATCTGTTCAACAGTGCTCAAAATGCTAGAGGTAAATGCTGGTATCGTCACATTTTTAAAATTTCAGTACAACATTAGTGCGCGCGTCTCTCAGATAGCGCTGCAAAACAGTCTCTCTGACAGCATGTGCATATAGCTAAATGAGTTGTCTTTTGGCTGCTTACTGTGCTTCAACGGTTTAAAATCACTTGTTTTTAAACCGCAATACTTAAAAAGCATGCAAAAGATACGCTTTTGTGACTTTAGCAAACGTCACGCGAGTGTAACTTGGAAAGAGACGATAGTCCAAAGTCTCTACCAGTTAATCATGTCTACCGGTATATCGCCCACCCCAGTTGACAGACTATGAATTCCTTAAATTACAGGTTTGTTATTAAAGTGCACAGCCACTCGCCGAACACAAGAATCTGCATAAAATACACAGCAAGTGCAAAATTGAGACACTTGTGAAACAAAAACTAAAGTCCGACACTGTCAAAGATAGCATGCTGTGCTGGAAGCGGCTGTATTTCTACAAAAAATTAAAAGTCTCTCTGCTATTCCAAACTTTCTGCATGGTTTACACACAGCCCTCGGCCGTTCCCTCGAAACGTGACACTCGTCTCACTAGAGAAACAACTGGTAAACCATCAACAAGTCACCAATGGCTAAATGTTTGCCTGTAATATCTGTAATGGGGAGTGACAGGGGCCGTGATGTGGCTGTGAAATGCCCCAAAGACGTGTTTTTTAAAGATAAAAATATGGATGAAGGGAGTGTGTGATGTCAGGTGACAACTGGAAAATACATGTGTGTTAGGATGTTTTCAGAGGCACTTCACTGTCATTTTTCCTAAGAAAGTATTGTTCCTCTTCTTTCTGTTGATGGCTGGGAGGCAGCACAGGAATTTAACCATATCCACTCCATACACTACTTGAATCAGGCAGTTTTCAGGCTACAAGCAGTCTGATAGTCACAAAACAAACCAGGATTTTCCCCTTGAGGTCCTTATAGTCTCTGCTTAACATACTGTAGCAGGCAGTTCTCAATTTGTGTTCTACAGAAAGTCCTACACACAGACTGATCGCCTTTATTCTCACTCACTAAGTACCTGAGTACTTTAGACAGCAGCTAGAGTGCCGCATCTCTTCAAACCACACAAAACTGGCCATTACAGGCTGGAAAACTGCTCTCACTAACATCCAACCTGCTGCAGGATCTCTGAATATGTTCTCTTGATGGCTAGGTAAGCCAGAAGATCAAGAGAAGGAAAGGAGGATGAAGGATTATTCATTTTCTAACAGTCTGGTTGGCTCCCAGCGGCACAAACACAAGCTGTCTTCATTTTAGATGCATTTGCTTTGCTGCTGTGTCCCTGAAAACATAGAGCATGTGCAACACATGGAACTGGGGACCTTTACAAGAAGCCAAAAATGAATGGCAAAAGTAATGAGGAAGAACAGGCTTCAGACATGTTCCATCACACACTGCCAGCTATCTTGTAAGTGTAAACCCTGTGTAAATCCCATGACCACATGCTCTCATAGTTTTACCTTGCATCAAAGATGCCAGAGCAACAATTGTGAGCTGATACGTCACCTGTCATTTTATTTTATTTTATTTTAGATTAGTTTCCAGAATTAGATGCCAGAGCAACAATTGTGAGCTGATACGTCACCTGTCATTTTATTTGATTTTATTTTAGATTTGTTTACAGAATTAGATGCCAGAGCAACAATTGTGAGCTGATACGTCACCTGTCATCTTATTTGATTTTATTTTAGATTTGTTTACAGATTTAGATGCCAGAGAAACAATTGTGAGCTGATACTTCACCTGTCATTTTATTTGATTTTATTTTAGATTAGTTTCCAGAATTACATTTTAAAACCCAGATTATCATACAGTATGTCTGTACCACCATTATATAGTATGTGTCAGTGTAGTGCCAAAACCTGGAAACAAATTAGTATTTTAGACTTTTGTCCTGATGCCAATGGGTTTTTGGTTAAATGGCTGAAATAAGGTCTGTGGTTAACACAAGCTCAAGATATTCTCACATTTTATTCTACAACATAAAATACATCAGTGATTTTTTAAAGTCTTTACTTGTCTTGAAAAGGTGTTGCTAACAAGTGGCTAAATTGGACTACAGAGGTTTCGGGCACATCAAACATCATGACGGCGAACTCGCTAGTCCACTTTCACAGCCTCATTGTTTATGTGCTCTTGCAAACTATTCTAACTCAAACTTGAAAGACTGAAAGAGTTGTTGGAAGCTTAATGGTGGAGATGAAGTAATATCACTGTAGTGCAGTTAGTTTATAGTCGTTTATACTGTAGATACGTTACGTTAGATGGCAATTGTGTTTAGGCTTCAAAATATATAAGTTCATTTGTGAAGACTAGTATGATGAATAAAATGTGTAAGTATCATAAACTTTTGTCAATAATCGAAAAGCCAATGGAAAAATCATATTGGGCTTTTGTCGAGGGAACCAGGGTGATGCTAACTTCTAGGTTGGCCAACAAAAATACGTCATCATTGCAGCACTATCGAAGCCCTTTTGTTTTATCTTACAGGAAAAGCACAACAAATCATATTTACCAGTGTGGCAAAGAGGTGGTAGAGAATGAAGTATATGGCCACGATTGGAGCCCACATCTGTCCCACTGCCACCAGCGTTTGGTCCATGACATCCACCCAACCCTCCTGAGTAAGAATCTGGAACATGGACATAAATGCCTACAGGATAGAAACAGAGAAATGATCAGCCTGTTTTCTTTTATTATTTCACTTTTATCAGAAAACAACAATACGTCCTTCCTTAAAAATACTTTAGTCAAATAACTTATAGCAGCCCCAGTCAGTCTGGATATTCTGAAAGTCGTATGCCATTAGAACAACATGAAGGAGAAAAAACCTTTATTTCTAGTTGAACTAGACTTTTAAAAGTTAATAGGCATAACAGATGACATTCATGAATTTGACAGATGACATTAATTGTCCTGACTCTGATTTGACCTCTCTAATCACCCAAACAAAATGGAAATTTGAAAACTACCAAAGCAGAGTAACAATTTTGCGTTTGTTGCTTTTCCTAAATATATTCTCATGTATATACAAGGATGTTTGACTAACAATGCAGCAACAAAAATAAGACAAGGCAGAGCACAACATTCACTGAAATGGATGCAAAACAAAAAAAAACAGTGTGTCCCAGGTCTCAGAATCCTACGGAGATATGAGACCACATTTTCATGGTCGTTTTTCCATGGAAGTCAAATGAAGGTCTAAACTCAGCTGGTCCCAAGCCTGGTTACAGTCACACTGTCTCTGAGTGACTGCAGATGAAGATAATTTTGCAACAGGTCTATTGACAAGGGAACTGGGTAAACATCATTATCTTCAATGGTTATCGTGCCACCCGCCTTGGAAATGAGCGGCATCTGTTTATGTGAGCCCCTCCAAATCCCAGTACGCATTGGGATCAGTGGAGTCCCACTAATAACGGAGGATAAAAAGACACCACTAATGAGAACCCCTCTCATGAGCACATAGTATCAAAAAACTTGGAAGAAAGTCTTGCATCTACTGACAAATTAGGTATTATAATAGATTTAGAGATATTTTGGTCCAGACTGGATTCTGAAATCTCTAGTTTTTCTGACGTGATAATTGTAAGTATTTTAACATTTCAGCAATTTAAATCACACAAAAGATTGTTAGAATACCAAAATCTCCAAACAAATGTCACAGATTTCAAGAACTTCATTTTGTTCATCCAAGACCAAATTATTTTAGCATTTCATCTTTTGATCCACAACTACATTCAGTGTATCAAGAAAGAGGGAGCTTTACCCGTGGAAATGTTGTGAAACGATCCAAGTCCTCTACAAAGCAGAACATCTGCAGGCTGATGGCAGACATCACTATGAGCAGACTGGCAGTGAACACCACTAGACTGCCGAGTTTCTTCCCTGGACCGAAAATTTTATACACAAAATCCTCTAGTGCTGGGGAGATCTTTATTAGACGGACCACTCGCAAAACCTGCAGGAAAGGAAGGAAGGATTTTAATTTGAGGTATTTCCTACTTAATATTGGCTTAAAATGCATCTTGGAATGATAAATCAATTGTTCAAAGCAATAACCAACCAATATATCCGCCGAAGCATCTCATTACACAATTTTGGCACAAATACCATCATGAAAACTATCACAAGAAGAAGGGCTACGGAGCATAGCGGTGTTTGTTTCATTGATATTTAATGAGCAAATGTTGATATTGGAATCTTCCTTGAGTAACTTGGTAACAAATTGCATAGTTGCTCAAGCAGTTACTAACTTACTCTAGGTGACAACAAATTTGAGCAATGATGCATTGATGCTAGGTTGAGTTTTGATCAAGAACAGAGAATAGATATCGATCCATTTGCTTCAAGCAGAATGCGACCTGTTGTTACTTTTAAACCTAGAAAAATCATCCAGTATTCCTCAGGAGAAGGTCTTTCTGCACAACAAACATTGTGAGAAAGCCCTAACCACGCCCTCTGAGTGATTTGTATTATACGGCGCTCAGCCAGGTACAGCCATGCAAAATCAGCAGCTGAGTTACAAATCAGGCCGGCTGGTCTGTTATTCAACAATTTAAATGTTTTTTTCTCAGTGCGTAAATGATTACAGGTGAGTTTTCTTATATTTCGCCTTTTTTATTGATATTATTGTTCTGAATGTCAAAATTTGCTCGTAAAATGAACGCATTTTAAACTGCGTCACAAATGAAACCAAACCGTTTTCATATCAGACTTTGAGCTCGAAAATGATTAAAGTTATTTTAGATTATAATATATTATATTCACTTCCTAGTTACAGATCACCCGGTTTGTTCAATATTGTTTGAAAATTGATGACATTGTAGGTTTGCTGCTGTAATATTGAGCATAGCCTACGAGGGCGGCAGTGGCTCAGTGATTCATGTAGGTTGTCTACAAACCGGAAGGTTGGCTTGTATGGCTGACACCGCCGTCGGTGTATGAGTAAGTGAGTGAATGGGTGAATGTGAGGCAAATTGTAAAGCGCTTTGGTGGCCATTAGGTCTGTGAAAGCGCTATATAAATGCAGTCCATTTACCATTTACGCAACGATCGTGCAATCTGCGTGTCATTTACTTTATTATTTTATTAATATAATAAGCATGCAGTTAACTCATGTATGTTAATTTATATATCACTTAATAACTGAATGTTTGTATCATTAACTGCAGTGCTTCTTTTGGGTTTTGTTACTTGAGAGACTTCTCTCCTAAGTCCCATTAAATCACAGAATTTTTAAAGTATTGTGCTAGTAAGTTTGATTCCCAGGGAATACACAAAATTCTCCCATAGAAGGTGATGAACTTTATTCAGGGACACTTTGTTTAATGTACAAGAGATTTCTTACTGTGTAGTTTAAGAACCATTGGAAATCAAGTACTAATCAGGCACTCTAGAAACATAAATGAAAGACTTATCGTATATGGCAAACCAAAACTCAAAGGCTTAGTTTGACCTTTACACTAAAGGGATGACTACATGACTGGTCTTTCTAGTAAGGAGCTTGAACAGTCTTTAAAACTGCTTATAAAATTATTAATTTTTTGCATATTCTGCAAGGTGTATGTAAACTTATGACCTCAACTCAATGCAGTTCTCTTACGAGAGGTTCTCTCGTATTGCGTAAGTTGCTTACGCTACGGGTAAAGTCATCTTTTCTCGAGATATGAAGCCAAAAATTATCCTTAATTTTGTATTTATTGTCAACTCAGCTAGTGCAGCAGCTAGCATACCTAGAGCAGGCTGTCTAGCGTGCTCATTGGCTGCCCTGCGGCTACTGCAGCAGCCTACCACTGAGCCTCGCGTGACGTCGCGTCCTCTACGCGTCACAGCCCGCCAGAATGGGTGTGGCTTAGTGTATAAAAGAGAGGCTCGGAGGCTGCTACCCTGATTTTCATCTCTTCAGCGAAGCTCTACGCATTGCTGGATCCTGTGAGAAGCCGCTGCCGTTTGAAACCAGCGACCAGCAAGCAGAGGAAAGCGTCTGAGGAAGCCGGTCGTCTTTGCCGCCTTCAGCCTTCCGTGCCTGCTGCGCTATCCGGCGACGAGTATCCTTTTTGCTCTTTGCTCTGCTGTGCGTGTTCGCCGCCGCGACACACACATTCTCCTAAAAGAGCACGAGGCGTTTTTATAAAAATGCATCGCACTTCATGTGGCTCGTGCCGAGCCCCGCTCAGCGCCGGAGGTCTGCGCTCTCTGCCTGGGCCCAGACCACGCAGCCCCTCGCTCTTTCTTCGGGAGGCTGCGTCCACTGCGAGGAGCTTCCAATTGTCGACCCTGCGGGCTCGACTCGAGGCCTTCAATGTCGAAGCTGTCACTCCGCCCCCTGCTGGACCGCGCAAGAAGAAGCACCGTTCTCAGAGACCGGCCGCGCGTTTTCAGCCGCCGGACAGGCCGCGTCCGCCCTGCACTCTATGGCTGTTCTCCAGATCCTTCAGGCCGATCTCCTCCGCGAGTGGGACAAGAAGGGCCCGGATCCAGCTGCCATCACGGATTTAAAGAGCGCGACGGAGCTTTCCCTTCGTGCTACAAAATACGCAGCTCAGGCTATTGGGAGATGCATGGCCGCGCTCACCGTCACAGAGAGGCACCTCTAGTTGACGCTTGCCGACATGAGGGAGTCCGAGCGCGCCACGTTTCTCAACGCGCCGCTCTCCCCCACTGGTCTCTTCGGCCCAGCGATGAACGGGATCGTCGACCCCGTTCACATGCTGAAACCTGAGCATGTGAAGTCCTCCTAGCGGCAGCAGGGAGGAAAAGACGGCTGGATCCCGCCGGATCACCGTCAAAGTATCTCGCCCTGTCAGTCCCCTTAGAAAAGGCTACTGCAGCGATGTATTTGGTAGCCAACGAGCCGGTGATACAACCCGCTCGCCTGCATACAACCGTCGTTTTTACGGCGACCCAGAGAAATCTCAAAAAGAGTATAATGTCTGGTTATCCGGCTCAGGCCGTTGGTGTCATAAGTGTAGAAAATGTGCCCACATCTCAGTGTTCACCCCTACACACAAGCACGATACCCCCCGTGTCTCTCACTCTCACAGAGCCCACTCTCATAAAGCTGGCAAATGCCGCTCGAGTGTTAGATGTAGGAAATGTGCCCACAACTATGTGCCCACGCCTACTCTCTGCCCGCTCTGTCACACGGCCAAAACAGCCTCATATCGGTCAGGTTATGAATGTAAGTTACGTGCCCGCTCACGAGCGCTCGTGCTTACTAACAAACACTTCGCCCCAGGCGCTGCTCGCGCATAAAAAAGTTATCACAAAACGTTCCCCGTTCAAAGCAATCGGGACGTCACATATGAAACAGCCAGCCACCGCTGTCAGCGAGCCGCCGCATTCAAGCACCGAGGGCGAGCGTGTCGGGCCCATACCTCTGGTTCAGTTCTTCTAGCCCACGAAGTGCAGCGATCGGAACCCGGAGGCCATTCTGCCCCTAGCTGTACATGTAAAAGCATGGGAAGCGATTCCAGGGATATCAGAATGGGTGGTGAGCACAATAAGACAGGGCTATTCACTAAAGTTCGCTAGCCGTCCCCCACGCTTTCGAGCATGGACCGTGACGAAAGTGAATGCGGAAGTAGCACATCTACTCCGCGCAGAAATAGTGAAATTGTTGTGCAAAGGGGCCATAGAACCGATACCTCCTTCTCTGAACGAGTCATGTTTTTACAGCCGTTATTTTCTCGTACCCAAGAAGGACGGAGCTCTCCGAGATTCAGATAATACCCCGTCACAGGCCATTCTTGAGATTCGCCTTCGACGGTCAGGTTTATCAATACACCGTCCTGCCATTCGGCCTGTCTTTAGCACCCCGTACATTCACGAAGTGCATGGACGCGGCTCTCGCCCCCCTTGAGAAATCAGGGCATGCGGATTCTGAACTATTTGGACGATTGGCTGATTCTGGCACAGTCAGAGATAGAACTCTTATCTTACAGAACGGTGCTCCTCAGTCATCTGGAAAGCCTGGGTCTCACGGTCAACTGGACCAAGAGCTCATTACTGCCCAGTCAGTCAGTTTCCTTTCTGGGAATAGAACTGGACTCTGTGGCTATGACGGCTCGTTTATCAACACAGCGGGCGCGCCGTGTTCGACACCTGGCCGCGTCTTTCCAGAAGGGCAGCATCGCTTCTCTGAAAACATTCCAGAGGATGCTGGGCTGTATGGCCTCAGCTGAAGCAGTGCTTCAGCTGAGCTTACTGCGTATGCGCCCGCTGCAACGCTGGCTGAATGCTCGGGTGCCTCACCGAGCATGGGCTTCCGGCTGCAGACAAATCAGAGTGACTCTTATCGAAAGGTCATCTCGACGGACGCCTCCAACTTAGGTTGGGGCGCTCTCTTCGAGGGCAGACTGGTCTTTGGCCTGTGGTCAGACCGAGAGAAACGCCTTCATATAAACTGTTTTGAGATGATAGCGGTCGAGAACGCGCTGAAGCGCTTTCCTCCTATTCATACGGGACCACTATATTCAAGTCCGCTCGGACAACATGTCTGTGGTGTCCTACGTGAACCGTCAGGGCGGTGTCAGATCCAGGAACCTCTGCGATCTAACATAACGCCTCCTCGTTTGGTCTCAGCACTCACTGCGCTTGCTGAGAGCTGCGCATGTCCAGGCCATCTGAATGACCGCCCAGACAAACTGTCCAGGGACAACGTTCCCCCGGGGGAATGGTCCCTGCACGCCCAAACAGTCCATGCTATGGCGCCTTTTCGGCAAAGCGGAAGTCGACCTTTTTGCGTCAAAAGACAACGCTCATTGCCCGATGTTCTGTTCAAAGAAAGAGGACGCGCTGGCCCAAATCTGGCCCGCTGTATGCTTTCCCTCCGATCTCACTTTTGCCATAGGTAATCAAAAGAATCAGGGAAACGCGCCACTCGGTGCTCCTTATAGCCCCGCGATGGGAGAACCAAATCTGGTTCCCGGAGCTGACGCGGCTGTCACGCACAGCCCCTTGGCCGATTCCGGTGAGGAAAGATCTCCTCTCTCAAGCCCGCGGCTCAATCTGGTATCGCCATCCAGAGCGCTGGTCTCTGCATGTATGGCTGATCAACGTTCCTATGTGGGATCTTTCTTTGGTCCTAGAGGCCCTGAAAACATATCCCTTTGAACCGTTAGATTCCATGGATCTAAAGTACCTCTCGCTCAAAAGTTTTTCTGACAGCTCTGTCATCAGTCAAACGTGTGGGGGATTTACACGCGCTATCTGTTAGCGCTGCGTGTCTTGAGTTTGGACCAAATTACTCTAAAGTCATCCTCAAGCCAAGACATGGCTATGTCCGTAAAGTGATTGACACACCCTTCAGAGCGATTCGGCTCTGCCATCATCCGATAGCAAGAGCGATGTTAATCTCCTCTGCCCTGTCAGGGCGCTGAGGGTTTACATTACGCGCTCCGCCCCTTTCAGACGCTCGAAACAGCTCTTTGTTTCGTTTCGTGGGTGCACCAAGGGTCTCGCCGCCTCGAAACAAAGCCTGTCCAGATGGATAGTGGACGCTATCGCAGCTGCTTATGCGTCTAAAAGTCTGCAATGCCCTTTGGGCGTCAGGGCTCATTCCACTAGAGGCAAGGCCTCGTCGTGGGCCTGTTCCAGCGGGATTTCAATTCATGAGATTTGTGTGGCGGCGGGCTGGGCCTCCCCGTCCACATTTGTTAGGTTTTATAACCTGGAAGTCCCCGCCTTGCAGGCTAGACTTCTGTCAGTATAAGTGGGATGTATGTTCTGCCCAGATGTTATCGTGCGCAGGCTACTCTCACGTGACTTTAGCTCTCCTGGTTGAGCTGCGCTATATGGGTTGATATGCTTTATATAGACCGGCAACGCCGCTCTTCTCACCGAGAAGACCCCAAAAAATGCCCGATCAGTGTTGTGCTTTCCTTCCTGCAAGAGGGGTTGGAGCGAAGGCTGTCTCCCTCCACCCTGAAAGTCTATGTTGCCGCTATCGCCACACATCATGACGCAGTTGAGGGTAAGTCCGTGGGAAAGCATGACCTGATCATCAGGTTCCTGAGAGGAGCGAGGAGACTGAATCCTCCTCGCCCTCCTCTCGTTTCCTCTTGGGACCTCTCAGTGGTTCTAACTGCACTGCAGAGTGCTCCCTTTGAGCCTCTGCAATCAGTGGAGCTTAAGTTCCTGTCAATTAAGACAGCGCTCCTGGTTGCATTGGCCTCCATTAAGAGGGTGGGGGACCTGCACGCATTTTCTATAGACGAAGCGTGCCTGGAATTCGGGCCGGTCTTTTCTCACGTGATCCTGAGACCCCGGCCTGGATATGTGCCCAAGGTTCCCACCACTCCCTTCCGGGACTAGGTGGTGAACCTGCAAGCACTGCCCCTGGAGGAGGCAGACCCAGCCTTGGCATTGCTCTGTCCAGTACGTGCTCTCCGCACCTATGTAGACAGAACACAGTGTTTCTGGACCTCAGACCAGCTCTTTGTCTATTATGGTGGGAAGCTGAAAGGAAAGGCTCTCTCCAAGCAAAGGCTGTCTCACTGGATAGTGGACGCCATTGCTTTGGCATACCAGCAGTAAGGTCGACCATGCCCCCTTGGTGTGACAGCACACTCCACCCGGAGTGTGGCTTCCTCTTGGGCTCTAGCACATGGCGCCTCGCTAACAGACATCTGCAGAGCTGCAGGCTGGGCGACACCCAACACATTCGCCAAATTCTACAATCTCCGAGTGGAGCCAGTGTCCTCCCGTGTACTCGCTTCAACCAGCCGGTACTAGGACCCGGTCAGGTGTCTTCGCTTGCTCGCCATTCCACTCTACGGACTGGATACGTGCGATATTCTCCTCAGGTGAGCCTCACAAGCCCAGAGTTCATCCAGCGCTGTTGACGTCAACGCCAGAGTTATGCCTCCGGCAGCTTTCGCGATTGGCTAAGTACCGCCATGTGCATGGTTCCCCCTCTGGGTGACCCCCACATGTGTATTTCCACTGTAAGCCTCTCTGAGCATGTGTCTTTCCCTTGGCAAGCCACTCTGCCACCCCTGGGGTTGAAATATTCCACCCTTCGGGCTGCATATTGCCGGCGTTCTCCTTTTATACCCACGCGGTGGGGCGGAGTTACGCCATGCAAATTCCGCAGACCCATGGCATTTCCTTGCCATTGGCACGTTTTATTTCTTTCGAAGATGAGAGGCTTCTAAGCGAACCCCATTCGTCGTCATTCGACGTAACTACTCAGGGAACGAGGGTTACATCCGTAACCGAGACGTTCTCTCTAGAAGAGGGAACGAGTATTGCGTAACCTGCTGTGCTCGTGCCACGAGCGGCTTTCGCTTCAGTCGATGAAAACCAGGGTAGCAGCCTCCGAGCCTCTCTTTTATACGCTAAGCCACACCCATTCTGGCGGGCTGTGACGTCACGCGAGGCTCAGTGGTAGGCTGCTGCAGTAGCCGCAGGGCAGCCAATGAGCACGCTAGACAGCCTGCTCTAGGTCTGCTAGCTGCTGCACTGCGTTGACAATAAATACAAAATTAAGGATAATCTTTTGCTTCATATCTCGAGAAAAGATGACTTTACCCGTAGCGTAAGCAACTTACGCAATACTCGTTCCCTCTTCTAGAGAGAACCGAGGTTACATTAGGTAACCGAGTATGTTATGTGCCGCTAATGCAATGGGCCAGATTTACTAACAGCTTGCACCTTAACTTGGTGTTAAAAAACTACTGTCAGGATTTACTAAAGACACGCAGTAAAAAGAATTGCGCTGGAAAAGGCGTGGACAGAGTTATTTTTGCGGCAGACCTTATTGCATGTGCTTTTGTAGGAGTTTCCCTTTCAGACGCAAAATTTATAGGAGAGTATTTAAATTAATCACGCAAGGTGATTTACTAAGATTTGCGCTCATCAATGTACTAGTGTTTGCGCCATTATTTACCGTCCCAAAAAAGCACGTCTTAAACAAGACGCTACCTGGTAAATTGCGTTGTCATTATAGAAATGATCTGACTGCGTCAGTGTTCTTTAATTTAATTTGCGTCAGTGTTCTTTAATCTGCGTCAGTGTTCTTCTAATTTGTTCTTTAATTTGCTTAATTCGCCGTAGTAGATCAGGCACAGAATTTTCCACTCCCATCTGCGCTGTTTTGGAATTGCGCTCTCACGCTAATTTACCCTAGTAAATCTGCCCCATAGTGTACAAAAGTCATATTGGTACAAAAAATTTCTTCGGGAAATGAATGTCTACAATATACATAAATTACATAAATGAAAATGTAAATATAAGCTGTAAAAACAGATTACAGAATATTCAATAATACAAAGAAATAATTATGTTTTACTTCTTCAAAGAAGTAATTAAGTTTTAGAATATGAGTTTGAAGACAGACATTTCTATTTGCGACAATGATTCATTTCACTAATGATGGAAAAATATAGAATGCCATTTCCAAATCAAATTTAACATGGTGACTGCTCATGGTAAATCATGTGAGTTTTTTTTCATGGCAGCTTCATAATCAGCCCAGATATGAATATTCACAGTTGGAGTTCCGCCCCTCCTGCCGAGAGAAAACTGGAGGGAGAGCGCAGGTTGTGTCATTAATGAGGCTTGTCAACATGAGCGGGTCTCATCCATTCCCATTCCCTGCAGCTGCCTGGAGATGTATGAAAACAGCTCCGCCATGGCCACCAGCATGCGTTATTATTACCCTGCATTAGTGCATGATTAGCATCTCAGTATCTAGCAAGTGCTGCACTCATGCAAGGAGCCTTTTACAAATGCTCTGGCTACACTAAAATAAAAAATAAACTTTTCTGTGCATAATTTCTCAAAACGCTGCTATCCGAGTCAATTATATCTGAAAACTAATCTGAGCAGTTTGAAAGATGATAGAGAGCTTATTGATTTACAAACACTGCAATTTTGTCTTAATGCAGCATGTTGACATATTGGTAGATGAGTACTGATGACAAATTGAATTAAATAAAGTCAACATGAGTTTCTACTCTCAAATGACCAATGTTTTTATTGGTCTCACATCCTAAGCTTCCAACGCTACACCATAGATTAATTTAGGCAGTATTCAGGAACATGTATGCAGGTTTGCTTGAATACTTGCATGATACATTTCAGCAATGACTAGTTCCATATGATCTTTGGATCAGTAACTGTCTCTAACCTGGAAGTAGGTGAACTGCGAGTGGTAAAGATCAGGATAGATGTGCAGGGTGGTCCCCATTACAAGCAGTGACTCAAACTTGTGTAGAGAGGAACTGATGTAGCCATTGAAGCCCAAACACCAGATTTTCAGCAGAGCCTCCAAATCAAACAGCACAGTGAAGGCGACCTGAAAACAGCAGAAAGAGGCAGGAAGTATGATAATGGAGAGCTGTTCCTTGTGTGCCCGTTTCTTAGTGATTGCATTGTAAGTGTCCCCGTCCTTGGTTTTGCAAAGGAAATATGCATGTGAATACATGGACATTCAAACAAAGAAGACTGAAGAACCATTTCCATTCACAATAACATCGCTTTTCATTTAGAAGACAGTATATACTGTAGGAATGCAATCATAGTGAGATGCATTTAGGCACAGGAATGTCAACAGAAGACAGAACACAAAACTAGTGTTCCCCAGTTTTCCCCCATTTGGTCTGATCCAAATAAAGAGCAGTGTGGATTAATGATGAGATGGATCGGCCTGTGAATATGTGGGGTGCCTTTTCCTTCTTATCTCCGTCTTTCAGCTTGGAGTGGGCGGGTGGCCACTGTGCCACCTGCATACTGATTGCAGAGGCAGTGCGTGGCAAACAGGACACATATACACACACACATACGTACCTACCCGGCACTAGCTAAAATGGAGTGTTGCCCACAAGCTGTTTGCGCCCACGTTGCCACTCAGTTGATTTAATCTCAGGGTTTTTAAGGCGACAGAAAATGATGAGGATGTGTTTATATGAGCTTTCAGCAAAAGTCTTATCTGCTGACCCATTTGAGTGCAATAACAATATGGTTATTTTGCCCATCTCACAACAGATGATATACCGGTGTAAAATTGTGTCTTTTAAAACTAATACACATTGCCAAGAAAAAGAAAGAGCAGAACGCCCACCCTAGAATGCAAGAATATGACAAGAAATGTATGAATCATTTTCAAATGTTCATTATCAAGTAGCATCTTGACACTCCAATAAATATCTGTAAAAGACTTTAACAGTGGGATTCAAATTATGCAGCATTCGTAGCACCTAGCATGAAAAGTGATCAGGGTGTGACTAGTAACATCTGGGGCATCCATTTTAGGCATCAGATAAATACTCCCTAGTGAAAAATGAATTTATTTTTATTCCATATATTATTAAAATATTTAATAATAATTAACAATAATTACTTTTCAGTGCAATCTCATTGCTGTACACACACAAAAGAAAATAAGGTCCAGGGCCATTTCTAAGAACCGGTTTTGACAGGTCTCACCTCAGCCAGGTAGAACTCGTCATTGGTGAGTTTATGGTCCTCGCCCTTGTGGTAATTGCTAGCAGCTACAATCACGTCAACGGCCACCATACTGAGAATGAACATGTGGAAAACTGAAGATCGCATCAGTTTCTGCAGAGATGAGAGAAAAGATCAGATGCATTTAGTGAGACAGAGCAAACACAGTGTTGTTGTTAGCTTAACCACATGCAAACAAAGTCCATATGAGACTTTCATTCAGTGCAGTCAACTTTTTTGTCAGCTGTGTGTATTATTTCAACTGTGCACGACTTCCATTCCTAGAGCCGCCATGCTGAGCATTACAATTTCTGCCATTCATTTTTATATGTGTGGTCAATCTCCTCTCCCTTTTAATGTCTCTGGATGTATATCCTCCATTATGAACAAGCAGGCTGACCACATCCTCATACTGAATGTAGTTGCTGGAAGAACATTATTTTCCACTTGATTCTCCACTTTTGTATGATGGAAGCTTTTAATCACAGTAGTAAGGACTGAGCCAAAAATGGACCCTCACTCCCTGAGCCCTTAGCAGGCCAAATTAACCCATCTCAGGCCATCACAGACCCAGGAACATGAGGCAGAAAAATTACTTTAATCTTATAAAGTTGCAACACTGGATGAATTATAATGTAGGTATTTGATATGACAAACAACCTCATTAAATCCAAATTGCATTATAAAGAAGCTTTCCTACCAAAAAGCATGATATCTGGAATACTGTAATTGTATTTTTTCTCTTATTTTAAAGATCAAATTAAATCATATTACTGATAGTTAGCACTGAAAGGTTTCAAAAGCCTGTTTTCTCTTGATCCGACACAGCCAAGTTTCTTCCAGTGAAACACTGACTAATAATAAGACATAATCTTTTGGGTCATTTGTCTGGAAGCCAGCATTCTAGATAAACAGTTGTCAGTGGAGCTGATATCATTGGTCTCTGAGTACAAAATACAACATATTAAAGCAATAGCAGTAACAAATAAGCAAGCAAACAGAATATGAAAATATAACACAGTCTCATCCCAAGAAGTCATATAACTGACGTCTTGGGACGTCTTTTGACCATACGTCAATATCCGCCTTTTTAGGGTACCCTTAAACGTCGGTTTATGACGATCCTGGGACGTCATACAACTGACGCTTTACCTTTAACGTCAGTTAGGTGACGGGGTAGGTTTAGGGGTAGGTTTAGGTTTAGGTCTGGGGTAGAGTTAGGATCCGATAACGTCATCTAACCGACGTTTAAGGGTACCCTAAAAAGGCGGATATTGACGTATGGTCAAAAGACGTCCCAAGACGTCAGTTATATGACGTCTTGGGATGAGACTGCACTCCCTGACAAAATGAGAATGTGTTTATTAATATATATTTATACTACACCTGCCTAGCATGATTTTATTATTAAACAGCTTTGCTACAATACGTTTCTATTATTGTCATTCAACACACTGATATTTTCTCAAATCACCCTATCACTAAAAGCGAATAAAAGCAAGTGAAATTTGTATAATAACCTGCATTTTTTATTAAGGTGAGTAAAATGTGTATTGCCTATTGAGTTGTCTGCTGTTTAGCAAGTTATATTTGTATTATCAGATGGGTCCACACCCGTTTTATACCCATGTTTTTGTTCTATAATTTAAAATAAAAATAAAGCCCAATCAATTACTGTGCAGAAAACAAGGGCAAGTTCAAGTGAGGTTGTGTGATGACACACTTTAGGTCAACTAAATAAATAAATACGTATTATTGTGGAATTCCTGGTAAAACTACGCTACCCATAATCCTGAAGGAGATCCACCAACCAGAGAAGTAACTGTTACCATGGAAACAGGAATCAACAGTGACCACCCACTCCCATGAAGCATTGCAAATGATGTAACTGAGTATAGTCTCTTTACACTCTGAAACAACCTATATTTATATACATCAAAATAGTTTGCAATAGATATCAAATATACAGTAATATGACTATAGTGGAAGAGTAGTGAGAGTAGTGGAAGACACAGGGCAGGATGGAGTCAGTGTTTAGGGAAACCCGTTTGGAAGAAATAATTATTTTTTCAATTATGTTTGATGCCCCAAATGGCACAAAAAGTACATGCTGCACCTTTAACTCCAATTCATTAGCAATACACACACAGAGGAAATACCCAACTTGACTAATGAGAGGGCCAATTTCTCTTTCATTGCAGTATCAAGACTTGTATAAGCACTCACAGCTTGGGTGCATTTATGTGTTATAAAACAATGAGAAGACACACCAAAGAGAAGTAGATAAAATGCAACGTGCAGTCGACAGTCCAAATACATGAACACAGCTTGTGGGTGGGTGGAAAATCTCAAACTGGAAAAAAATCTGGAGAAAGAGGAAATGGAAACGAGAGGAAAAAATGAGGAAGAGGAGAGAGAAAATGAGAACAGAGAAAGGACCTTTTGGAAGACCAACAGAAAGAATCCCACCTCTTTTGGAGCAGCCAAAATAGTCAATAACAATTATGTAAAAGCGTTTAAACTCCTCTTTAATAAAGTTAGAGGGAGCGGAACCAGTCTACAACAGCATTAAACTGATATATCTGATACATGTATCTAATAAAAGTAAAATGTAGTAATATTTTATTACATTATATACAGCTAAAGCATTTAGGGTAGGCCAAGAATATCTCCTTGTTCCAAAATCAGTTTTTTGCCTTCCTTACAGACCACATTTTTCACACTAGTCAGTCAAATCGCTGAAAGCAAAAGAGAGTAAGAAGAAAGTAAATAGGAAATGGTCTATTAAGTAGAGAGGTGAAAGACTGAAAGATTCTGTGGCAGGGTTCATGGGCAGAGACATAAAAAAAGAGACATTCTCCCTCCGGGTTTGACAGCCAGACGGCCACATGTGGAACAATGTGGCCCCGTGCCACATACAATCTTCAAAATAAAGCTCGACTTTGGAAAGACAATGTGAAAAAGGGCATACAAGAAGAGATTATCTGAGAACAGATTTTCTCGTGTGTCCAGAGGCTGTTCATCTGCCCAGAGAGATATATATCGACAAAGGTTCCTTAGACTTGTCTATGTTGTAAATAGAAGGTAACGGTTTTTGTAATTGGCAATAAAACCGTCCCTAACCCTGCTAGGGCTCTGTTTGGATTGCAGTAAAGTCATTTAAAAAAGCCAATGGCTTGAACACTATTAAATCCCCATTATACCATAGTTTTCCCAACAACCAGCAACATGAAACCCAGCAAAACTTTCTGCATTTTTACAAAAAAAAAAAAACTTTCTTTACATTCATTTTATAGCATTTTTACAAATGACAAATTTACTCAATTTTACAATTTTTTTATAATTTAAGATAACATTTAAGTTGGTAACACTTTATTTTGATGGTCCCTTTTGAACATTCTATTGACTAAAAGTAACATAAGAGTATTAGTAGACTGTCTGCTTAATATCTGCTAACTCTTTATTGTGATGCTCCTCCAACAGACATTCTATAAAGTAACTTTGCAACATGTCAACTTATTCTAACCCTAACAATCTACTAACAATCTGCTAACGCTCTGAGAGTTAGTAGACATGTAAATGCAATGTTACTAGTCAACAGAATGTGTTAAATTGACCATCAAAATAATTTTATATAGTTTTATAAAAATAATAGTTTTCTATTTTAATATATTTTCAAATGTAATTTATTCCTGCGATGGCAAAGCTGAATTTTCAGCATCATTACTCCAGTCTTCAGTGTCACATGATCCTTCAGAAATTATTTTAATATGCTGATTTGGTGCTCAAGAAATATTTCTTCTTCTAATCAATTTTGAAAACGGTTGTGCTGCTTAATATTTTTGAGGAAAAAAATACCCCCCCCCCTCCCCTCCCCTTTCTTTGAATAGAAAGCAGCATTTATGTAAACTATGTAGAAGTATTTCCTGCCAATTTAATACATCAATTTAATGCTACCTTGCAGAATAAAAGTACTAAGTTCTTAAAAGATAATCCATTTCCCATTACTGATTAAAAATGGTAAACAACAGCATCTTGCTGTTTATACACAAAATAACCCAGAATATTCCTTTTACCGATTCAAACTATACACACCTTCAAGATGCTAATGAATTGAAAATTGTCTGTCAAATCTATAAATGGAAAGTCTGTAGTCATACAGGACTTGTAGAGCTCAGAATATATCTTACAGAATATCTCGAGGGAGAAAGGTGAAAGAAGGACAGTGGCAGTCTGGTCTGTCTGCTGGTCTGGGATCACAACTCAGAATTCACTGAGAAGCCTCTATGACCAATATGGGACATGACAAAGCAGTCTGACATTTTCAGCTTCTCGATGTTGGTTTTCCCTCGGGTGTTTCGGCTGAAGGGGGACTAACAGGTGACTCCATTTTCTCAGGGCCCTTGACTTCACCTAAAAATGTTCCTGGCTTTCTGAAAGACTTGCTTTTATAGCAGGGTTTGAAAGCTTGCTTGTGCAATTCATCCATTGTCTACTTCAAGACTCGTCTGTGATGTGATGCCTATTTCTCTTGTATGGAGAACATAAAAACAGCACTGTCAATGCACTGAAGGTGTGGTGGTCTACTTCTTCTGATGTTGCTGGTGCCACATGAATACCTAGCTGAGCTGTCGCAATCAAATAAAAAGCAACCTTTGTGAGGGCGGGATGCATCTCTCTCGTTCTCTCCATTTCATTGCATTTGATGCAGCCCAATTTGTACGCTCCAAATCTTCCTCCAAACAGACATTCAGAGCATCTTGTTACTGCTCCTCCTTGTATGTTTGAAACTTCAGGCTTTACACCTGTCAGCTGACACACAATTAGTGTTCTTTACAGTAAGGTGCCTGTCATGCTCCATCAGTTATGTGCCAGAATCAAAGACAGCACAACTCAAAGGGAAGAACATTTCTTTATCATTCAGCGCACGTCAGCGGCATTTGACCAAACATTTACTGATTCCTAATGGAATAGTTACCCCCAAAATTGTCATTTTTACTCACCAACGTCATTCTATATCCATATGAATTTATTTTTTCTTTGAAACACATAAGAAGAAAGATACTGAACGATCAGGGAACTGCTCTTCATTGAACTGTATTGTAATTCTAAATGACTAACCAACTGTGTTGAGCTTTATCTAAG